GATACAAATACTTCACAGAGAGTATAGTAAATGTTTTTTTAATATAGATTTAGATCATTCAGCCACTTCTAAGAGTTTCATGAGACAGACAACAGAGCAGTTATTTCTATCTTTTTCATCTAATATTTCTTGAAATTTCCTTTACTTCTCCAAGGTATTTCCCTCCACAAAACTATCTGATACAATATAACACAAAATACACAGCAACACTGTGTAATCACAGAGTAAAACTGCTATTTGACCTCAAAAGTTAAACCTTTTGTAAAGGAAAGCAGATACAAAAGAAATATGATTCATTGAATCAAAGAACACTACTTCTTAAACATGTAGGAGAAAAAGAAACAAGTAGCAAACAAATCTTGGACTTTTAAGCAAAGAAAATTTTCATTAGTGAAACTTATGAACTGATAACAGTCATTCAAAGCCTTTTGAGTAACTATCTTATTTTTAAAATTTTACTTCCAATTTACAGCTCAACAATTAGCAGATACAAATTAACCAACAATGCCTCACAGAAAAAAAACCAACTACAGCACTGTGAAACACCAACATTAATAGTACTGTCCAAAGCTTTTATTTTGTAAAATAGCTACTAAAGAAAGGTCAGTTAATTCATCATGATGGATTATCACTAAAATTTATAAGCATTAGCATTTTTCTCCTTGCTGGATACCTTGACTTTGATATGACAACATATTGAATGAATCATCTAAGATGCAGGCACCAGGCAAGATATATCTTAATGCAGACAGGTCGGCGACATGAACCCTAATGGTCCTTATCTTAATCTTGTTTAAAAGCATCTTAGATTTCTGAGTAATCTTTTCACCTTCTGATATTCTCTTTTATAGAGTGTTTTTGCTGGAGTTGCTACTGATTTTCACATAAATGCATCACCAGTTTTAGTAGCTCCCAAAATTATCTAGGTTTGTAACTGAGCAAAAGTTAACATTTTAGAAAAAAAGTGTATGTGCCAGAATGCTGACAATTACAATTAAAATTCATATGTTACTGGAGATAATTCCATTCATGAAACATGTCATCACAGCTGCTCATAACAAATAGACACCTAATGAATGTGGAGATGTGTATCTGATGCACTTTTTTCTTCTCCTCATCCATACACTTTCCTACATCTATTCTTGGATATCTGCCATAGGTCCATTTTAAATAGTCAATCTTCCATGAAAAATATGGTTATACAAATACTTAAGATAAAGGTAGGTTTGCCTACTACTGCTTTGTTTTGTATTCACACTGCATCTAGTAATTGCAAATTAAACATAGATAACTAGGTGACTAGACTTTCCCCATAAAACTGCATTGCACTAAACTGCAGAACTCTTTCTGCTACAGCTACTTTGATTTAAAAGGAAAAAAGAAAATAAAACAGGGGATGGAGTGGAACAGAGGAAGGTAACAGGTGAATTATTTTTAAGTCAGAATTTTTTGGTGATAACAGCAGTTCATACGTGAGGTAAAAAGGTCTTTGGAAAGTATCTTCTCAGTCTGACAAAGTCTTTTCTTAACCTGATCATTAGGAAAGGATGCAGGTTTAGAATGTTGTGGATTTAAAATTCTTCCCAACACAGTTCAATAATGTTCTACAGATTATAAACATATTGTTGTAAAGGGCTGTCCAGGGCAAAACACAGACAAGATACTACTACCTCTTCCTGGCAGCAGACAGCTTCTTCAAAGAAATCTAGAATCTCCCAGAAAGTAACCTACCAGAAGAAAAGCTAACAGAGAACAATGCAATCCACTAAGGGATGTTTTTGGCACCCACTGGCACTAGAAGAAGGATGTGACTAAAACGCTAACTCCCCCAACAACTACTCTGCTGACATTTATAATATAGAACATCAGCTCAGATGTTCTATAAGCACCATCCAGTCATCTCATTTTATGATTGGGTTAATGTGGTGACATTTAGAAATTTTACTTGCTCTCTATTTATTTGCACATGGGAACTTTATAATGGCTTGATATCTTTTCTAGGTGAGCAAGAGACATTTTTCCATTATTATACACTAAAGAAGTCTGAAACAAATAATTACATTTCTGCCAGTTTGATTCTGAAGCTCTAACATGAAGAGAGGGGTCATAATTTTCACCAAATATTGGTAATTTCTTCTTTAATATATGCAAGCCAGCCTGAAATACCAGACAAAACACATAGGAAAAAATATTACTCATAAAAGCCTCTTAAATTCCCAACAGGAAAGTTCAGATGGTATTACTCTATTTCTGCCATAAATTTATTTTATTTCTGACACCATGTAATGAAGTTCTGAATAACATGACCAGCAGTTACAGAACACTGCTTGGGTGCTTGCTCAAGGATCTCAACATTGTTCATCACTGTGTCAGACAGGGTTCCCAACTTCTGCTTCCTGTGGCAGGTGTTTACACCTTCCATTATTTTTACTCCCATGGACTGAGGCCAAGAAGTGTTGATTTACCATTCTCATAACCAAAAAGAAAATACACCTATATTTTATTACAGTGAACAAAAGTCCATGGAAGTTCAAAGTGAATGGAAGCGAAAGAAAGTGCAGTAAGATACTGCTTCTGTCTCTGACACTCTCCTTATATACAAACAAGAAAAGTAACAAACATTTTACCACCTGAATTAAATTAATAATGGGCTCTCCAGAAGAAAAAATAAAAAAAGAGTTCATTCACAAAGCAAAATAATTAGGCTAACAGGTAAAAATGTGCAGCATAAGTGTTGATACTCAGGTACTGAAACAGAGCTTCCCAAGAAGCAGAGCTCCTGACAGGGCTGTAGAGCAAAGGACAGCAGTGCTGAGCTGCAAATTCTTACAACTAAAACACAATGTTGTACTGAAAAATGCATCTGTAAGTGTAACCAAACTGAAATCCAATGTACATGCCTAAATTCAAACTCCATCAAATATCTGGATAGATGTACTTGGAATTCAGAACGCTGCCCTCAGCCTTCCAGACATTTAAAAAGACATTATTTTTCACTTATTCTGAAGTTGAAACTCCAATTCATAAAACATGTCAAGCCCTCAAAAAACCTGCTTAACTCATAACAGTCACTGAGGTACATGACCACATATATTAATCATATCTGGATAGCCTTGAACAATTTATTTAAAAGCTGCAGGTTTTTTTCAAGAGAAGCAGCAATTTCCCCAGGAAAATCTCTGAAAATCAATTTTGAAATGCAAATGTACAGCTAAGCAACATTCTGTATGATGATGAAAGAAAAATACCTAGTTTTCCCTGTACTAATATGCTTATGCTTACATTCTTCTGTGTTTTCAATGTATTAGTCCCAGACTTAAAGGCAACCCATTCCACAATAAAAGTAGTAAGATAAAAAAGGGCACCCATAGAAAAATATTGGCAATGTGATTTTAAAATACCATCCTTCAATTGCCTGCAATTTATATTTATCAATACTTTCACTAGGATCAGGGAAGCGTTCCCACAAAGAAAAACAAACACTCAACGTGTTTAGCTGGGTGACCTTTCAGTAAAACATTAGGGCAGTGAGAGGGGGGAGGGTACCAGAGCTGCCCAGCAATCTCTTTCCTTTGTTATTAAATGTCATTACAAAGTCTCTCTATACTTTCCATTCAGATTACTTTCCTCAGAAACACTTTCACAAATACTTGTCAGGTCTGTATAGGTAAGATCTGCTCTCACATACTGCTCAGCTTTATACACTTGAGAGAAGGAATGACAGTGAAAACCGAAATATGCTCCCAATTCAATTCTTAAATTAAATAAAATGCAAAATTTATTCTCAGATCGTTAACTCTGCATGTAAATGTAGTTTTCCGAGATGGGTTAAGTACATTTATACTCACTGCTCTGCATTTGTTCGGGACTGTATATTACATGGTCTAATGTGGTCACCTAATGGTTACTGTCAGTAATTGCACTGGTAACTGTAACTAAAGAAACCCAGTGGAAAAAAAAAAGCCTTTGCTTTGCAGCCTCTTCAATTTCATAACGAAACTAACACGAAGGGTTTGTAAAAAAGAAGAAATTAGTTTTATTTCATTTTTTAAAATAATCTCTGGTAAGAAAACTTAGATGAGGGAAAATGTCTGAAACCTTTATTTCCATTATACTCAGGGGTTTGTTCATTTGATGGGATTTTTTTGTTTTTGAGAGGTTTTCATTTAGTGTTTTTCTTGAGAGGACTTTTTAAATTAAAAAAGATGGTTTTAAAATTTAAAATGTCACACTCTTGCAAGCATTACGAGAAAAAGGGGCATGAATCACAGAATTACATTGCAGGCTTATATTCCTGTCCCTCAGAGCTGTCCATTAATTAGTAAGAACGAATAGAGAAGCAAGCAGAACTAGTGTGAGGTACAGATTCACCATAATTAGATATCTTTTGTTAGAGAAATTAGATATTACCTAGTTTGCAATTGAGAAATTTGATTCCTTTCGGACAAGGCCAGTGAGCAACTCCCCTGACTTAAAAATAGACCAGAATATTCAAGGCAGTGAAATGGAACAAGAAACAAGGAAAAAAGAAATTAACTGGATGAATCCTGCATGAATCACTGCATTCAAACAGCATAAAAAGAACATGCAAAGGCATTCCAGCTGCTGAGTGACACACACAAGGTTTCCACTCATGATGGGTGCTCATATGGAAGGGATTTTATTTTTTTTTTTTGGTAAATAATTTCAAAACATTGCAGAAAAAAACTTGCAGGTCAGTCTGGCTTTTTTTGTGTGTGTGTAAAACTTAGCAAAACGATTGTAGTCATTAACTATATACACACATTTGTTGAAAAAACAAAATTAATGTGTTTTTACACCAGAACAAACTTGTATGGCAGTCAACAGGACAGCCAAGAAATTACAACATAATAGAATCACAATGTGTTATTACAATGCCTTTATTTTATAAATATTTCTATATGTTGATGCACATATGCACATTTTCAAGTAGACTGTGCGTGGTTTTAGAGAAAGAATAAGAATTAAGATTTCCTTACCTTATAGGATGGCAAAAAGCACAAAATTCCTTGGCCAACTGTTTGACACACTGACAGCAGAAGTGCTCCCACCTCATCTTGGAACTCAAAGGTCTCTGTGTGCTGGAAGGTGGCACACAGCTTCCGACCGTTGGGGCCTGCTCCAATGGTGCCAACCCAAACCTGGCACATTTCATATTGGAAAAGTTAATCACAAAATGTGTGACAAACTGTATTAAACTACATTAGGTTAAAAAAAAAAAGTGTGAAAGAAAATACTGAGATATTTGTAAGCAAATCCACTCCAGTACCTTAAAACAGAAAGTGCAATAACTGATATAAGATGGTGATGGTTAAAATAGCACGACTTCAAGTTTTCCAGGAACATGTCTCTAAAAATTACCCCTTTTTAAATTTGAAAATTGACTTTGAAATTGCATTAATCTAAGCAACAGCCTGTTGTGTACATTGCTTTTCACTTAACTGAAACGGTTTGTGATCATTTTTATTTGCAAGTTATTTTTTTCTTTACAATGGCCAGCATCAGACCTCAGGAGAGGAAGCAAGGAGGCAAAAAGTTTACCTGTGAGTTCCGAATAACATGATTTGCCTCCAACTGGATAGAAAACTTCACACCAAGCTCTGAAGAAAATGAATCCATTGGAGAGAGGGTACCAGAGGTCAGAACAATTGTCCTAACATCACTTAAGTCTGAAAAAGCCTAGGTTAGAGAAAGAAGAGAAGGAATTTAGAAAAACAATACAATCACTTTAAGACCTTCTTTCTATTTGGTATCACAAATCACTCCATTCCTTCTGCTCCCTCCTCAGCTCACCACAGCAGGATTCAAGCACCAAAAATTCAGCATGCGGACTTCGGTTTTCTGCCGCAAACTCCTTTTATGCCTGGGTCGCGTGAAGAAGGCACTTGTATCTGAAGCATCAAGTTGGTTTTCATTCATCCAAGCATAGGTTTGTTGCAGAGCAACTCTGTAGTCATCTGCATATCTATACAGGGATCCATAAATATCCATAAGAACTACAATCAAGCAACCAAACTAAGCATGTAGCAATACTGACTTTGCTTGGTATGAGCTTCAATGCATTTAAAATTGAAGTGTAAAAATCTATTTTATACCTTCATTAAAAAAGAGTGAAACTTGACAACAATTAGTGTTTAAAAATACGGTCTAAATAAATAAATATTTTGGCAAAGCAGCCGAATTAAGTACAACCACCCAGCTCAGGTTAGGTATTTGCACTGACCTGCTGTTATCTTTAAAAAGAAACAAAAGAACCATGAATAAGCCTTTCAGCACAATCTGAGTGGCAGGGCTCACAACTGGTATTTCAATAACTTCCTCTTTACCAAACATTGATACTTTTTCTTCTTTTTCCAGGATAGTAGCAAGATGTTTCTATGAGAAGAAAAATTTCACATTACCACACCCTATCTTCTCAAAAACAAAGCTAATACAGATACAAGACTCAGTACACTGTTTTAAAAGTTAACCTAAGATACTTATAAGGTCAAACAGAAGACAGAACTGGAACAGAAAAGTAACATTTTTAACATACTTGGCTTACACTGAAAAAAGCAATAAATTTGAGAACAGGGTAAATTCATTTCAATAGTCACTAAAAATGCAAATGTCTGTTCTATCAGTGACTAAATGGTTCAATTTAAATAACTGGACATGATCAATTATATCCTTTAAAACACTGATTATCCACAAATTCCAGGAGTAATCCACTTGAGCTACTGGTTTTAATCAGGTATCATTTTTAGACTGCTTTTCAAAATTGCAGGAAATGAAAAGATGTGTTAGCATTTAACTTACGTATATTTTTAAATATTCAACAATATCAATATTATGCACTCTGGTACTCATTTATATACAGCATGCAACATTACCTGTAAAATGGGAAAAGTAATACCAGTTATTCCCATTTTGTGGAAAATGTTGAGCATTTCTTTTCCACTCCAAACTTTACAGGACATTTCATACCCTCTTTCTTCTAGCTGACCAGAGCTCTCTCGTAACCAGCTGTAAAGAGAGAAATCAGAAATAATTTCAGCATTAATTTTAGATATATTTTGCAGTTACAAACCAAACCTCAAACATTTCATCACACCTCTATAATGATGATAAATATTTTATTACATCTAAGCAGAGAGATTCTGCTTTTCCTCATGCCAGGTTTTCATTGCTGAACTAACTTCTACAGAACTGCTCTTTTTCCAACTAATTGAAATGGGAAGACAATTTGTACCTATACATTTATGTCTTAACATCATGCAGTACCTCTGCAATAAAGATAAGTGATTAAAATATAATCCGTTCTTAGGATACAACATGTCAGGCTCATTCAATACTTCTGCTATTGCTTTTAAAGCCACTCATTACTACTCTAACTGACACAAGGTGGCTTATCATCCCTGTCAATTGCAAGTTTTCCTAATAAGAACAAATCTCAAGGCATGGAATGAGTACTGATAATATTTCTACACAGTAGAGGAAAGTGGGGCAATAAAAAGTGCGTATTTTAACCCACCTACAGGTAATTTGTATCTCCACTATAATTTTAAAATTAAGCAGAATTGTAATTGCATGTACAATGTAAATATGAAAGGACTTTCTAAAAACACGATCTAAACATGCAGATCATCTCATCCGCTGCAGAGCTAAATTCTTTCCTAAGTGAATGTGTCCTCCATCATCCTTGCAATATTACAAGACTTTCCCCCATCCAGAAAAGCAGGCAGGCTTCCTCCCTCTCAGGAAATGCCGAAGCTGTCTGTCCCATCAACCAGCAGGAGGCATCAGAAAGACAGCTGTCACTTCTACAACAGTTCAAAATATTTATTTGTATAATCAGCTAATCGTTATCAACTACAGCAACAAGGCTTAGTGACTGTTTCAGTTCCAGATTTCCTGTTCTGTCACTGCAAATAATCTGACTGCAGTGGAACAATTAGAAAAATCTTTCCTTTTGCCAAGTTAAATGCAAACAAACCACCACAAATATTACCACAACCATCATTTGTTTTGCTACAACTTGATTTATCTTATTAAGGAACAATGATCACTAACACAGGCAGAACTTCCCCAGTGTAGTACCCTGCCCCACTTCCTCCAACATAACATCAAAAAGATCTGGAACTAAAATTAGGAAAAGGCCACTATGACAGAAATGAAACAGATTTACAATGGATAAAACGTTTCAGGAAATGTAAAACTTCTGTTTCCCCATTATAAACTTCAAACACCATCACATACTTTGGAAATGGTCATGCTATAAATGCAAATACAAACTTAACACAACCATCCCCCTAATTCGAAAATACCACCAAAAAAAAAGAAGAAATGCCATTCAATTATATCTAATGTTAAATCATTTACTTAAAATACATATTCATTTATTTTTAGAGTAAAGCAGTAAGCATAAATAAAATGAGCTTGATTCCCAGAAAGATATCTGTGGTTTTGAAGTGAAAATTGCTGCATGCAATAGCTTCAGGAAAAGATTTAAGGAATATTGCAAACATGCCTTCGATGCAAGAAAGCACATTTGCTCCTTCCCTTCCCACCAGAAAATCCCATTGTGAAGTAATTTGCCCTGGTAAATCTGCCTCTCATCAGAGCAGCCTGCTGTTATACTTCTATTGATACCTTTTCAAATTCCTCAGACAGGTCAAATTTAGCACCTCTGTGGCACAAAGCCCATGCTTAATTTTTTTTCTGGAATGATGACCTAGGGTCTTTATAACTGAAATAAGATTTTTCTAATTACTCATGCATTTGGCAAAGCCATATCACTATGCAGCAGTATTTTACCAATTATTGGCTATTTACACCCAGTTTTCTGCTTTCCAACAACTGCTTTTCATGCTGTTGGCAGATTTGCCAAGACAATCAACCTTCGTTTTTCTGATAAGGTTAAAATGCTTGGGGCAATCAAATCTCCAGCCATGCTTTTCTCATCTTTTACTAAAATTTAACATTTGAAATTTTCAAGGTAGGAGAATTAGCTTCTGCAAAAAAAGAAAGTCACTTGTCTCTGTGACATACAAACATTAACTCTCAGAATAGAGAAAGGATAGGAAAAATGGTGAACTACTTGCTGTAGTGCACTCCAAACTCTATTTCACCAACCACTAATGCAACAAAATGAGGATTTGACATGCACTGAAGCAGAGTTCAGTTAACTTCAAAGCCACTTGTATCATTATTCACTTCCATTCGGCTAACTTGGCTGTTCAGGGTTTCACCAGCAGCATGTTTCTGATCTCTTTTCCCTGGATCCCACAGAAGAAAGGTTCAAAAATTCAGGGCTACAGAGCTGACTTTCAAATTCACTAGTGGTGACACATTCTTCTGATATGGTTTCAAAACTTTCTCATGTTCTCACTCCACCCAGAAGACCTCTCTCTTCCCTTGATCCCTTGTCTCTTCCCTCCTTTTCCTGAGCTTCTGCCCCTAGTCCTTATGCTTTGTTCCATCCCCTCTGATTTTCAACTTATTCAAGAGCACAACACACTTTTCAAAACAGTATTTCAAGGCCTCCCTTTAAGACTAGAGTATTTTTTAATAGCTCAAATCCCTCCATATTCCTCCAATGAAGACAAATCAGGTGACTGCACAGTTTGCAGTACACCTGGTTGCATTTTATCTGATGCAACATAATAACCAGTACATTGCATCAGCAAAAGGAGTCTAAATGTAATTTTAAACAACACTAAATGATAGAAAGGAATTAAAAACAGTTGCCTTACTTTGTTAAAGAGCAGCACACAGCATGTAAAGGCTCATGATTCTTCTGCCTGATGTTGTTACTGACCATGAAATCCAGCTCTTCTCGAGCAGCTCTTAGCTGACTTTCTGTAACACTGTAGCTCACTGACTCCCGAGCACAGTCCTCAATATTATGAGCTTCATCTAAAATGACTACCTGGCCTTTTAGGTTAATGTCCATCTAAAAAAGAAAATTATTATCTAGTAAAACAGAGTAAAAGACATTAATGAGAAGAAACACCTAATGGGATTCTGTTAAAAAAGTTCATATTCTGCATATCGGTGTAAACGACAAAGTTCTCAGCTCTTTGGTCTAATTTCTGTAACCTAGAAAATAATCAGGAGGGTGGGGGGGGTTGTGAATATCATCTGAACCTTGTCAAGTTTGCAAGGTTTTCTTTTCTATAGACTGAAAAAAAACCAGTCTGACTGATCAGCTACAGTATGAGATCAGTGGCAGCACTGTAAGCACTACTTGGAACATAGAAATGGTTGGGGCGTGGGGAGGAGAGAGAGAAAATTCCTCTTCCCAGGATTTATTTTGTGGATAATATTTTGGATTTAAGTTGGATTTCAGTTGACTGTAGCCACTGAATATTATGTTTCTAACTTCCCTTCAGTTATTACAATCTTCTTACAAACATACTCACGCTCTCCCTTATCTGTGGGTCCAGGAGGTAATTGTAAGGACAAAATACAATATCTGCGACCACCATGAGCTCTCTGGCTGCAAAGTACGCACAAGCACGGAGCTTCTTTCCCAGGCTCACCAGATCTTCAATGTCCCAAGCCTGATACTTCCCATGAGCAGTCTGTAGGGCATGATGTTCACTGAGCTTATGAACACCATGATAGTAAGGACAGGACTTGCCCTAAAAGCAAATAAGAACAGACACTTACTGGCAAAAAAACCCCAAACCAACAAACAAAAAAGCCAAGACAAAGAACAAGTAAGCTTAAACCCTACAAGTTGTTATGTGCATTTGACTTTACTTCCTGGAAGCTTTTCTAACAGCTACTTTTTACATCAGACAAAAATGAAACACGTTGTGTCAGAAAGAGAACAGACAAGTCCATGTTCCTAAAATGCACAGTGATAAGGGACACTTCTTCATCTATAAAACCAAAAACATTTATTCTTATCAAGAACAATAACCTAGCAGTCATAAATTACTGTGATCATGTTTTTTTCAGAATTGATACTATGTATCAACATTTTCTAACATTTTACTTAAACCAAATTACCAGAGGCATTTAACCAACACAGTACAAAGAAGTCACAAACATTACTCACTCCAACTGTTCAACTGCCTTTCATTTTAGTATCTTTAAATGAATGCTTATTTTCTGAAACCAAATTACTCACGTGTTTTCCTTCCAGCAATTCTACACACATTTCATTCCTGTTACTACCACTAGACACCACTGGATGAATACAGGTGTGATCTCGGCTGGAAAGAATTGTCATAGGGACGCTGGAAAACACTGTTCTCTTCAATTCTCTGGTAATCTGGGATATTTGCTTGTGTGTTCGTGTTCCAAAAAATATTTTGGGAATGAAGGACGGATCTTCTTTTTCTTTCTTCTTAGTGTTACTGGTATCTTTATCACTTTCCTTTCCAGAAGAACAGGAACACTCAGTGCAAGGACCAGCAGACTGCAACCCAAACAAAAAAAGGATTAACAAAATCCCACAGTAAGATGAACCTGATAGATCTGCTTATGGGCTGTTCAGAAAATGCCCTCTAGCATAGTTCAAGATATCCTGTTAACACGTTAAATTACCACGCTGGCCCATCAAACTGCAAAAAGTTTAAAAGTGTTACAGCACACACTCCATGTCCTCATGCCTGAAAATCTTAAATATTGTATAATAATGACTGGATACAACCTTATCATAATCCAATCATAGAAAAAATTATTATTTCAATAGAGTATTTAAACATGAATAATGCATATTTAAGCTTCAGCATAAGGACAGTCCTGCTACAGAACAAGAAGCGTCTAGGGCTTTCAATTAATTAAAATACTAAGAATATTTTCCCTTAAAGCAAACAGAAGAAATCTAGACAGTTTCATGAAATCTGTTTGCAGATAAAACAGACTATGTTGTATACTCTCCATCAGAAATGTCTGCCATGCCATTATGTCAAAGGCCATCAAGTAACTATGACAATAAAAGGCACCTAGGGAATAATGATAATCAGCACCTAATCGTGTAAAGTATCTGTTAAAACCCAATATTTTTTTTTTCCTGAAAAGCACTATCTTTCATAATATAAAATGCTGGAACAACTCTGATTACATTGTAGTAATTGATGTGAAAAGACATCACAGAAAACAAGTAACTCTTGAGTAACCACGTCCACACACACCTCCCATTAAAAGCAAAACCTAATTCTTCCAGTGTAGAAGAGTTTGCATTTGGTTTTTCAGGTGATAGTGCAAGTAACAACATGTAGTTGCCTGCTCAAATACTCCTCCCTCCCCTTTTAATTGTAATCAGTAAGATTATCCATTATAAACAAATGCTAAGTCATGCTGTGCATTACACCACAATTCTGGGGATCAAGCTGTCTCTGAGCCTCCACTCTGAGGAAAAGCAAGCTGGCATTACCCTTAGTCCCACTCAACCTTGTCTGCCATTAAATATTACAATACATGATAGAATGCATGTAAATGTAACCCTTCTGGAGCTGTCACTCACTGGGATAAAAGGTTCACTGATGTGCCAAATAAACAGGCCCTCAAAGCAGATAAAGTTACACCCATGCTGGAATTGTTACATTCCCCTCTCAGGTTGCCAGTAACAGCAGATTTCATTACGGAGTGCTGCCACACTAAATAGCCAGTTCCAAATATCCTGCCTTCTATATTGAATAATTACTTATTCACTGAAAGGATAAAAAGAAGAGTTATGAATGGGGCTCTTGTCAACAGTGAAGCAGGAAACAGCTGACATATGGTATATGTTACATATGTGGCGATTCTTGGTTTGTAGTCACACAGAAAACAGCAATGCAAATGGCACCTTGATATTTCTATCATCTACATTCTATTTTGCTCTTTGAAATAATGAAAACCACATTATCATGCTAACAATTAATGTAACAGAAGCAGTGACACTGTAGGGCCTTTAAGAGCACATTTATTTTTCAGTTTAAATTCAAGTTATGCTGAATTTTCAGAGGTTAAAAGAATATACAGAATTTAATGATGATTTCATACCACTACTAGCTCACTGCTAATGCTAAGCTTCACAGGTAGTTTGCCAAAGAGAACTAATAGAAACATATTAGGACCAACCAGGCAACTGCTGTGCAAGTTGTTCTAGCAACAGGAAAATGCAGTTCAAACAAATGTAAATGTAAACAGGAACAGAAGGTTCTTCTATGATGGGTTTAATAGAACCCAGATAATCTTTTTGCAAAAAGAATTAAGTGTTCTTTACAGGTAAGGCTTATAAACAACAGTATTTTACAGGCAGCCTTAAAATATTTCCATAAAAGGTTTGAAATTGGTATAATACTGACCTTGACAAGCACTTTAGCCAGTATTTCAGTCTTTAAAATGCTACCTTTAACTTTGAAAAAATATATTTTTTTTTTTAATCACTCAGACTTGTAAACTCAGACTGATTTTATAGTAACTAGCATGAGTATAAAACTGCCTGCAGTAATTACAAAGCTTCTAAAAGTCAGAAGACACCACTAGCCCAAAATACATAAATAGGTAAAGCTTTTTAAAAGGTCCTGGTAACCAAGAAAAACTTTGAGAAAATGTTTATAGCATTATTTAAAAGTTGAGTTCTTCATGCTATCTGCACATTATTCAGCTGTGTCAATTTGCACTTCCGTTCTTTGCTACTCTTAACAAACTAGTTTGGCCATCCATAAATTTTATTAAAACCAAATTATTTTAATTCTCTATTTCTATTTAAAGAATTCACTCTTGATACCACACAGCAAAATCTAATGTTGAGTTAATGTCCCATTACTACAGCAAAAGGAAAGAGAATACTCTGCAGCTGAAGAAAGTGGTAAGTCCAAGATGGCAGTTCCCACAGCAGTGTTGCCTGACAACGCACACATTTTCAGACTCATAACAGAGATACTGGTTAAACTTTAATAAAATTAGAAAATGTTTCCATTTATTTGGGGGGGGGGGAGAGGGAGGTTGCGAGTAGAAAATAATTAACATTAAGATAATAGAAAACTATTTCATAATACCTCTGGCTTCAGAATCAAACCTGTTTTCAGCTGTTAGAACTTAGAATGGAGATTTTCATTTGAAAGAGGGGGGAAAAATCCCCAACAAACAACTCCTCTACTTCCTGCAGTATTTAATCAAAAACATCTAGTAACAGATGCTGTCAGAGATCAGACACCAGACTATACGGACCTTAGGCTATTCCAGCTTGTTTTTCTTTGTCAGGGAGCAGATAAAACAGCCTATCACATCAATATTTATATGGCAAAAACGTGGAAGGCCCATTAAAAAAAGAATAATCAAGTCCACCAACATGTCCTACGTGTAAAACAGAGCTAAACAAACACCAAGGCTATGATCTTTGAAACACAAAGAGATAAGAGGCGTTCTTCATATCTTCATCTACATTTCCCAGTTACAAAGCCATCTAAATGATACAGCAGTGAATACCTCTTGTGTGAAATATCACACAAGCACAATCTAGTAAGATATCACCAGTGACATTACCAGAGCTTTTCAACTATTCCTTTCTAAGCTCCCAAAAAGCACAGTATTCTGCTGCTGCTGCAGCCCCTTGATTAAAGGACACAAAGCAGCTGTTTATCCTCTCACAGTAACCAGCAGGTGAACCCAGTTCAATATTTATCACAGGCTTTCACAGATCACTGCTAACCAAGCAAACGTTTTAATTAAGCTGGAACCTGCTTCAAAGAGCTCATTCAAAATGTCAATCAGCAGCAAAAGGATCAGATACGGTGTCAGGTGAGAGCGTGTAATACAAATCCACAACTTTCTTCATCCCATCGTGGTAAATTAGCCTATTCTGGAGTCCAGACCCTGATTGTAACAGGCTGCCAGTCTCCTGGAATGTGTAACAGAAGTCACTCAAACTCCATTGTGAAGGTTGTAAGCAATATGTTAAACTGCAATGGGCTAGCACATTAAGACAGATTCTTTTCACAGTTGTTTTCTGATACCCCAAGTGTTTGTTACACTACTCTCCATTTACTGTTTACTTTTTTTACCTAGTTTAAATGGGGATTCCTTAATCCAGCTGCCCCAGTTTCTCAGACCATATGCTTTGACAGAAGTAATCAAGAGAGTACTGTAAGAGTATAATTTCTCATTTAAACTCACACTAGAACTGTCCTCTCTTGCAAGAATTAACAGCAGAAGGAGAGAAATGGATTCCCAGGCTCTGGAGTGAAAGCAGCTAAGAACAGGCAGTGTCTTCATCCACTAGATCTGCAGGTGTTCTGACACAGCAAAGCTGGGCAGCACCTCTCATGCTCTCACAACCATCAATCCATTCCCTCTACTGTGCTATAAAAAGGACTTGACAAAAAACTAAATTTGCTTTAAGCACAGGTCTGACTACAGTATAAAAACAGGTTATACAAAGGCAGGGTTATCTCCTTGAGTAACAGAATATTTATCACCCTAAATACATGGTCCATGATGGTAAGTGCTGAACATAACCCCAGCTGACTTTATTTCATAAGCTACACTAGAAAAGCATTTTCATGGCTAGCAGCCTCTGCTATGACGATCTTCATGTCTTAATGTAGTTAAGCTGCTGAACTACCAATGATAAACAAGGCCTCACTTTCTGTCATTGTTTCTTGATACCAGACAAGTTCTGAGTCTGCTAAAGTCAAAGTTCATCACAGGAAAATAATACCTTGTTCTTTCATTTCTAAAATTAAACTTTCTTTAAAAAAGAAACCACCTTTCATTCTTAAAAAGACATTTCAACAGATATAAACACTTCAATTTCTTCTTAGGTTACTTCTAAATAAGTAATAAACAGTATAGTGTATACATTTTGAATAGTGTACTGTCTGCAAAACACACACATGTACAGCTCAAGAAGACCAGAGAGTTTTCTTAGAAAAATCAGACTATGACTCAGTATTATTTCACAGCTAGTTGATCTATACTAAAAGGTTTCAATCTTCCTCTCTACATGACATTTCTAGAAATTTTAAATCAAGTTTTTCAGATACCCGCAACAAAGCAAATCTGACAACAGAGGAAGAAAGATAATTTTATTTGAAAATCAACAGCACACTCTGCTGGCCTTTGTATTTCAAACTACCAGCTGAAGTTCAGTGGCATAACAATTTCAAATCCTACTCAAAAATCTATGGAAGCAACACTGCCTGGACAGCACCAGTAAGAGTAAAAAACACTGAAGTTCTCACTAGTGACAACTTGTTACTTGGAAGCAATTTACATACTTGGGAACCTTTACATCAGGTTGTAATGCAGGTGGAGGCACAGTGGTTTCTGAAACGATATGTCATGAATAATCTCTTCACAGTAAAACGTTTTTAAATTGCAAAAGATATCACTGTATTACTCACTGTTTTGGGAGAAAAGGTAGCAGGTTTTACATTTTTTTCAGAGTGAACAATCAGGTCTCCATTTTTTCTCTGATGATAAACTTCTAAGGCATCAACCAGCTGCACTCCCTTTGAAAAACCATGTCGCTTTCTAACCTGCTGGGGGAAAAAGTTCTGTGTTCAATTGACTGCACAGACCTGTGTGCTCACCCCCCAGCAGCCAGTGATTGCTTCACCTGCTTTCCACTCAGTCTGCTTCAGTAAGACAGGGCATCACTAATACTTATTAATGGTTTAACCAAATCTAAGCCATACAGAAGTCATTTGGGAAAAGCCATAAAGTTCTAATTACAAAATTCAGTAACAACAATAAAAATCTTCAGTTATTGCTGAGCCTTGTTTAATTTACCACTGTTAGGAAACTAACAGAAATTGCAATGCTATATAGATATAAGCAGAAAACTTGCGTAAGTAAAACAAGAAATAATTTCAAGCCATAATTGAGCTAAAAACTTAACCTTTGGTTACAGCACACATCTGAATGCAAGCACTAAGCCACAGGATGCCAATCCTGACAGAGATGAAAACATAGCAAAAATATTGCACGCCACATATCAGGGCAGAGATAACTACATCTGACAGGATATAAAACAGAACTCCAATACATTCACAGTATTATTTGTATTTCCAATAGCACATTTTCAACTCCAGAATCTCATACTTTAATGTTACAGATCAATTGAGGATGAATATATTTTGGGGATATTAGGTGTTTAAATATGCAAGATGTAGTTTAGGACATGGTATTATGAACAATTTAGCACAACAAAGGACTTTTTTTTAACAACTAACAATAAAAAATAACATATAAAGCTGTCCATTTAAACTGTGACATGACTCAAGTATTCTCTATACCCTTCTAATGCTAATTGTTGTTGGACAGCTCTGCTGAGCTATTTCTGGAGTACTTTGCTGCCGAAGAACTTTGCTCACCTGCTGCTCAGTTTCTAAAGGACGAATCCTCTTCTTGTCTACTTGAAAATCATCATTCTCACTGTCACATGCAGATAACCGTTTTTTAGCAGACAATTTTGAAGCCAGCGTTTCGTTCCCCTTACATTCTGTAATTTAAAATAAAACTAAAATAAAAGCTATGCCCACTGCTAAGAATGCATTAAATAAGGGCAACGTTTTAAAAATAAAATTTACTATAAATGCACACAATATAGGAAATAGCATCAGACATTTCTACATCCATTAACCACCATTTCTATACAGGTTTCCATGCAGGGTAGAATCACATAGTACTCTGCTATTATGGTGGTAAAAAAAGTCCCTCACTGGCAACATATTTTACTACCAAGCAGATTTTTAACTGCCTATGTATGAAGTTACCTGTGTTTGTTAGTGGGCTCCCAGGTTTTATGGAGCTTTGTGTTTCACAGTTATTGGAAGAGCAGGAAGCACCACGATTCACACTTGTTGCAGCCTCGTTGCCCTTAGATTGGGAATGACACCGACAGTGACACAGCGGAGAGGTCTCTGGCTTTCTGTCTTCCTTCTCACATGAGGACATGAGCACTGATTTCTCTAAAGGACACAGTCATTTGTCTCCCATTAAAAACTACTTAAGACTACACACCTTTCAAAATTCATTAATTCAGTAATTAATTACATTTTGGGAACAAAAACTGTGCAAAAAAGACACTAAGACAACTTACCATACAGAGACTGCTGCCACGATAATGCAGAGCAAAGCAGTGCCAAGCTTTTGCCACTTCCTGTAGGGCTCTCCAACAAACAGTGCTGCCTATTATTTAAGCCCTTAACAATCTTTAAGGAGAATCACAAGGTATAAAACAGAATTAATAGAAAGAAAAAAACAAAATCAAGGAGGATGTCTTTAGCTAAGCTAGAAATAAATTCTAAATACAGACCAGAACACTGGCTGTCTTGTCAAAAAAAGAAAAATAAAACCAAAAAGCACCCACCACTCCAAATCACCTTTAAATAGTCACATGAGGCCAACAAGCCTCAGCTGCTCTGCTCTCACAGGTCACATGTCTCGTCAGCAAAGCTTAGGGGTTCACCTGCAAGGGCTGTGAAATACTTAACTGCTATGAGCAACACCTGAGGGGGCTTGCTTGCTTCAGTCTTAGAGAACCAAAGCATTGAGAACAGCTGTGAGACAACCAAACCATTTGTCCTCCAGAGGAAAAACATTTTTAAATTGTTAAAACTGTTTAAACATGTTCAGATGTAAAGTGCTACAATTAAAGTAAGAAAATTCTCCAGTGGAAACTGTTAAACTGAATGTAATATTTCAATAAGAGATGTTCTACTAAATCATTCCCTCCTTAAAAATTAAATATTACATACTCACATATATCATGTAATATTTTACTTGTTTCTTAGCATAAAGGGTCACAAATCCAAAATGTACTTCAGCCTTCCCTAGACATGACAGATACCAGCAGATAGCACAGAGAAGTTAGTGGCATTGCAACTGAAGTTCTCAGCATATTGGAGGCTCTGAAAACACAAGCTATTAGTTCAACAAACAGTAATATAAATCCTACTTACTGCATTCATCATAGCAAGCTGTGATGGGTAAGCCTTGCAAGGGAATACGATCTTCACTCCCCCAATAGTGTATTCTGACACATCAGAAGACATTGTCGCTTTTTCTTCCTGTTTACTTCAGGTTTCTAACTGCAATAAACAAACAGTACTAACAAGTCAACATTAACAAGCAGGCAAAGCCTGAAGCAAGATATAACATCAAACAAAACCAAGCAGAAACTGCTAACCTGATAAGGGGGCAAAGTGGTTCAAGAAATGGGAATTTATATTGCACCCTGTTAGTTCAGACAAGGTCCTTGTTACAAACAAGGCAATACCACCTGATCAGTAACATCAGTTTAAATAAATGTATAAAGTAACTGTGCTTAGAACTTCAGGTTCTATTTCTCAAAGTGAATACTGTAGGGGTAAGAACCCTAATCCTTTGGGGTGGAAGGTATTTTAGGATATTTAATAAATAAATAGCCATTTTTTTTCAATCCTGCAGGTCCCTTAGCTTAAACTTGAAGCCATTGCAAACTGCAGAGTTGCAGCTGGCAACAGCAACTTGTGCTGTTCATTTATAAAAATGGGAAAATAAAACTGGACACTGACTTTAGAAATGAAAAGTTTTAAATCAGCATTTTCCTTACACTAGCAATACAGAAAATTTGTTCAGGGGGAAATGAGGCATCAGTCACTTTACTGTTTTGTGAGTATCATCTTGTTTTTCTCTCATTCTGGATAATAGAAGAAAGTCAGTTTCCCTGTCATGCTAAAACATAGAAATTAGTTAACTAAGAACACGTAAGAGACATCAATGGTTTAAAAAGGGACGTTTTAAGCAAAACAACTTTTTTCTTACAGATTTTCAGCATCTACAAAATAAAAGAACCACTTTAAATTGAACGTTCCCTGTGATACATCAACTTACTAACCTGTGTCCTCATCTGACTTAATGACTAAACACATACATGACAAAACCAGCCATATATGGCATGATTCGGCTTCATCATCAACAATCCCGAGAGGAAAAAGAAACCCTCGCAAAAAGATTGTTGACATGAGTTTACATCCTACTCCTTAAAACATAACTGCATCTCATTAAAAGGCCTTTCCCTAACGCATTCGGGTGTGCGGGGCGGGTGTCGCTCAAAACGCGCTAAGCTAGAAAACTTTAGATCGAGTTTGGCCCAAAAAAATAAAAGCAAGCGAAGAATCCAACACCAAAAGGGGGCAGGGACGCTCCGGGACACTGGGAGCAGGGAGGGTCAGGGAGCGCCTCTGGGCGGACGGGGCAGCTCCCCGGGGAAATCCCCCCCAGCCCTACTCCAGCTCCAGCCCCGGGGAGAATTTTTCTGCCTCGCTGCGGCCGAGGGAGCGGGGCTGAAGGAGCGGGGCCGGAAGCGCCGACGGAGCGGGGCCGGGAGGGGCGAAGCGGCCCGGGCCCCCCCCCAGCCGCACCGGGCCCCTCTCACCTGAGGGGACGCGGCCTCAGCCTCCGTCCTTCCCGCCTCCGCCCCGCGCCAACCAGCTGACAGGAAAGGGCCCGGAGCCGCCAATCAGCGAGCGGCAAACTGAGCCGCTCTGCGCTACCAGAACCAATCACGGAGCGCCTTCTTGGCGTCCGGGTTGTACTCGTTGCTTGGCAACCACGCTCTGACGGTGGGGAACGGCCTTGCGAAACAAGATAGTTCTTGCTTAAGCACAGTGCTCAGGATGAATAACTGTTTTTAGTAAAGTCAGTAGCTTTTAAACATTATCACGGACAAAAGGCCCACGGCCCTCCCTTCCCATGGGGTGATCTGTGCTAACCTGGGTACCAAACCTAAAATCAGCATGAAAAATACAAAGTACATATAAAATAAAAAATATAACTATCTACGACTTGATCCTAATAATACACTCGAGGGTTTTTTTATTTAAATATCACTACAGCATAGAAAATGACAGAAGGAAAAAAAAATACATACATATAGATTATTTACATATTTTACAGCAAGATGACAAAATATACTTGGCAGTCAGACAGTGCTACAGGAATCCTGGAACACAAGTCCTGGTGTGTTTGGCAATATCAACATTCCCACATTGTCCAGAACAGGCAGAGGACAAGCTGTACAAGGTGTTCTCAAGGCCATTATTTTTTGAATATAAACTGCTTTTAATGAAAAAATATTATTTGAGGACCTTGGATGCTGTTAATTTCAGAAAAGAGCAAGTGCCAGACTGACAAGTTCAGCAGTGATGGGTGACGAAGCACAACACTCAGTTCTGGCACAACAGCCAAACCCCAAGTTCCTTTCCCTGCAACAAAAGCACCTGCTGCCTCAGGTCAGAGCTTGTGTAACCTTCAAGAAACACCCAAATATTGCATCACTCACCTCTTGCTGCATTGCCACAAAACACACCTGTCAAGGCTAAATCCTGCAGCTTTTGTGTATGAAAGATCAACCAACTTCAAGCACTAAGCATGAGGGTTCAGCCTTCCTCGGCCCACTGAGCTGCATGTAACCACTTGGGCATGGCTGAAACCTGCCATTCCTTCCCTCGTGGGGACATCAAGCTTCTGTCACAGGCACCCTCAACACTCATCTATTTAATCTTATTTTATGACAACTTTGCACCTATTTCTTGAAGTCTCCCTCATGTCTTTTAGTGATGTTAAAAAACACTAAACCACCTGAGCTGCATGAAAAAAATACACACTCTTTAAAAATCCCACTAATACAGCTCAGTTTGTAGTACTAGTTTTTTGTGGTTTTTTTTAAAGAAACTTTTAGACCAGTTTCAAACTTTTAATGAAAGCTGGCTGATCTTTGAATAAAGTTCCTGATCTCATGAAGTGAGACTTGGGCCAATGGTTTGAAACACAAACAAAGAAAAGTTCAAGCGTTTTCTTAGTACTCGGTGTGATGGTGCAAGTTATTTACACCACTTTTTCTTGGAGTATTTTATTTCATCTTGCCCTGCAAGGCTGCAGAACAGTAGCTCATTTAACTTAAGCAAAGCACATCAATCTCAAATTTTCCTTACCCATCATTTTGCTGGTTTCTCAATCCATGAAGTATTCACTTCCCAGAGTGCTATAAAACCCTCTTGGGTGTGTTGCTGCATCACTTCAGAAAGTGAAGAAGCCTGAAAATCACCCTCAGATTCACTGGAATGATTTACTGAGCCCATCAAGCTCAAAAGTTTTCACTGGAAGCAACATCAGCCTCTTTCAAGAATTCCTTCTTTTCAGCCATAACTGATTGAAATGAATAAAAAATGTGGACTTCTTGTGCTCCAGTTCCTTGGACCACGTTGGCAGCTTTCTCCAAGTTCAGGCTCTACAGACTGTGGGACCGGCTACAGTACAACTGCATTTGTCTTCTTCCTAAACTCCACTTACACTCATGTTAATGATGTCAATGATAGTATTTTCCACACACTGGCACAACTGAACATCAGGGTCCATGCTGGACACATCCCTTTTGCCAGATGAATCTTTACAAAGTCCTGACACATCATGTGGTTTCTCCTTTAGCTGCTGCAGACCTGGAAAATTAAGGAGAAGTGAAGTACATCCAAATGAATCAATAGGTATTTTTTTCATGGTGATATTGCCCCCATAACACAAACATGTATGCCTGGAAATTTAAGCCATCACTATTTTGTGCTTAACCCCACTGATTATTTCTGGAGACACTACAACATTTCTTTTTTATTAAGCATGTCATGTGCTATGGATAACACCTGCACACAGGGATACTGAGATTATACAAGCAGGGAAATACAACAGAAAGAAGGCAGTACAAAGCTTAATAAAAGGGGTACATTCAGTCCCTTTAGCCTCTAACCTTTCTCCTTCAATCCAGTAAATCCACCAACCCCTATTCCTTCTCCATTTACAAGAAAACAGCAGCACATTTCACACTGGATTCTAACCAGAATCATAGAATGCCAGGTTGGAAGGGACCCCAAGGATCATCTGGCCCAACCTTTTTTGGTGCTACTATAGTTTATATAGGGTGGCTCAGCAACCTGTGAAGCTGAGACTTAAAACTGTCCAATGTGGGGGATTCTACCACTTCCCTTGGGAAACTGTTCCAATGTCTAATTGTCCTCATGGTGAAAAATTTACCTCATGTCCAAAACATTTGATATAATTTTCTCCCTGGGATCATGACATGACTTTTGAAATACCAGGTGCTTACGTGTAATAATTGGGTCGAAGTCTCTGGTCTGTGTAGCCACATCAGAGGCACAAACTTGTCCTATTTGTATCAGCAGAGACATTATATCATCATACAGAGGAGGAAAGGCTTGACAGAAGGACACCAAACAAGGCAGGGTTGGCATAAAAAAAACATAGCGCTTCGACTGAGTTAAAACTGTCAAGGAAGAAAAAAGGGTAAAGTCAAAAGGAAGCATTATAAAAATGCAGTCAATAATTGTTTCATTTAAACTCATAATTACACACAGAGGGGTTGACACAAAACTGCATTCAACCCAATTTAAATCTCTTTTACACAGCAAGGTGTTGCTGGAGTGCTCACCTGTGAGCAGGGTTCCCATCACATTGATAGCTAAACGAGCCACGCTGAGGGATTTAGGCAGTGCATACTGGATACACAGGAAGGAAAGTAACTGGATGGCAAATATCTGTTCAGCACATGAAAAGCAAAAGAGAAATAAGAAATGAAGTTACAGATCACTTTGCACTTTCTATACAAAGCTCTTCAAGCAACTGAGGAGTCAATAAATATTCTCTATTTTATCAGTGAGGAAATTATGGCAGAAAAGGCTTAATGATAGTTATTGTTAATTTATTCTGCTGACATTACGAAAAAGCCCCCACTTATATTTAACATTAATCTAAGCATCAACATGTTTCAGAATCTCCCCCAGATAAATAATTTGTTCCAACAAGGTATTATTTTCAAAATTTAAATCTCCACAGGATTCCCTGTAGCTAAAAAGTATCAGGTCAAAACCAAGTCAGCAAGACCTCTGCCAACTGATTTATATTCAATAAAAAGAATTAAAGTCACTACTGCAAAGTGCTTTTATTCATGTTCTTGAAGGTAATATTGCTATTCACGACTATTTCCTGAACAGTTGTACAGAGATGTGTTGGAGGAGTCATAATCCCTGTTTGAGGGGATTTAAAGCCCAGGCCTTACATTTGAGGTAAAAAGAGCTACAGATACTACCTTAATATCCTAGGCAAGTTAGAACAGGACTTTTTTTAGTGATCTTTTTATTTTCTCCCCTTAACCAATCCTTCATCAGGGTTAACTACTCAGAGTGATTCCCAAAGTAGGTGACTGTACAGTACCTGTTTTTCAAGCTCAGGCTGGGCAATGAGCTCGGGTATAAAATCCAGGCAGATGTGCATGGATGGAATCCCTGCCACTGTGAGTGCCAGAAGTTCACATGGATACCCCTGTGTGATTAGGAAAACAGATGTGTCAATGGTGTTTCAAAAAGTCTGCTTACATTTTAAATTAGATCTACATTAATGTTTTTTTCAAAACTAACACACTTGATAAGCAACAGGCCTGCATCCCAAGGCACCACAAGGCTGGAAGACAAACCCAGGGTCTGATCAGTTCTTTATCCTCAATACTCAGTGAATCATTTGCATAGAAACTCTTCCTCCACTCCTCAGACTAGACCAGGCCGGAGTCACCCTTTCCTTCTGTGCCTGTCCCCTCTCTTTCAAACCTCACCAGGGGCCCCAACTTGGCTTATTTCACAACTGCACCATTATGACTTTTGTAGTCACTTAATCAGTTCTGGGCCAAGGCAAATTAAGTCCTTATAAAGAGACTGGCATCTGAAATGAGCAATTTAACACCCACTAAAAACCTATCTAGATTTCAGAAAATGTTAATCTTTCCCTCTTCCTTTTTCTGAAGGAGTGCAGCTGCTTTGGCAGGGCAACCTTTCTTCTTCCACTCCCAAGAGATAAACTGTGCCCCAACAAAAAGAAAAGAAGATTTTTTACATTTGAAGCCAAATTACAGTTTTGCATAGACTTTACTGATTTTAAAAATCATGGCCAGAAAAAAGTAACCTACAAAAGATGTGGAAGCAGTAATTATAAGATTAGACCAGTTTTCCTTGGCCTCGAATAGATGAACTATTTTGATATAAAAAAGGGCAGCAGCACAACCAAGCATGTGTTTAATGAGGAACATTAGCTGCTCCCTTCTCAGCTACAACACTGAGCCGTGGAGGAAATGCAGGTAATACAAACTGGGCAAGATGGGAAGCAGAGAAGTGGGCTCTTATAATTTCTGATGAACACAACAAACACATTCAACATCCTTTGACCACTTCATTTGGCTGTTTCTTAACCAGACAAACCATGGAAGAACTAAAACAGTGCAAAGCAGACCTGGAAATGAACTAGTTTGACTATGTTGGGGTCAGCTATATACATCTGATGCAGCAGACAGCAGATGAGACACTGGACCTCTCGAAGATTACACAGCAAGCTGTCTTCTTCTTCTTCTTCTTCCTCTACTTCTGGACTCTTAGGCCCTGTGGTACTATGAACAGTCTTCAGCAAACTGTGGCTATTACTGCTCTGGGCTTTCTCTTCTTCTGTAGGTAAGCAGATCTCTAGAAGAATCTGCACAGCAGCACTGTCCTGTGAAGAAAATTAGTAACAGAACATGTATAAAAAACCCCAATGATATAAAATAAATCAAAGTAATGACAATGTAAGAAACTCAAGATTGTCAAGTAGCTAGAATTTCTGCCTATTTTTTTTTTCTGTACAATTAAAACAACTCAGTTCAAGAATGACAAACCTTGAGGAACATTAAAAAGACCCAACACTTTATCTGAATCAAGACTCAAAGAAGAACAAAAGTTTAATTCAACAGATCATCATAATCACAGATCAAAAGAGTAATTTCAAAGCAATCTCCAATGGTCCTTTAAAGCATCCAGATCAGAAAAAAAATGCACATGGCATCTAAGTCCCAGTATTCAGAGACTGCACTACTCATCTAAATAGAAAACTTCCAGTTAACTCAAAAATCATCTTATAAGAGGGACTCTATATTTGACATCCTTCCAGAGAGATGGAAGAAACTGTGAAACAGGATTACTCCGGAATTCTCATCATGTCAAGCTAAGCAAGAGAACTTCAGCCTCCCACTTTGGCCACTTTTCTTCAACAACACATACACAAGACCATGCACAGTCTGTGACATCTACTCATGTTTTACTGCTGCAAAGCGGAGCACAGAAAGAGCCTCCGGATAACACAAGCAACAAAGCAAAAGGGCCAGTAAGCAAAACTCTTCTGCTCTAACTAACAAACAAGAATCCTATCACAGCAGTTACCCAGGACAATGCTTCATGCTGGAAAACAAAAGACTGAAAATATGTAACTATCTGAATAAACAGACAGTTTTCTTTTCCATGGTAACCTAAGATGGCAAAAGAAGAAGCAAATAGGTCTCCTTTTTTTATTTCCTGTTTCTGTATTTCTGTTTTAGCAACACCTTTCCTCACGTCATTTAATATCCATTTCTTTCCCCTTACCTGAGCAGCAAGCAATGCATTTTTTAATTCTTCCCTTGTAACTTCTGGGGCCTCTGGGCCCATTGGATTGTTTTGGGATGGCCTAATGTCCTGCTCTGCTGTTTCTTTCAGGTGAGCATTGAGGTAAGCTTTTGAAGCAAGAAGATATCCATTCAACATGTGCAAAGTTATATCCATCAGAGGAGGACTCCTGATATGGGAACACATGACAAAATAAAAACATTTCAGTACAGTAAGACACCAATAATAAGAATAAACTAAAAGCACTCCTCAAGGGCTCATTTGGCTGTAGTCTGGTTCATGCTAAAGCTGTTTTCCCTGACACAGCAAAACCCTAAAGGCCACAATCCCTCCTGCTGCCCTGCCATTCAGTCCTGCTTCTCTTGGGCACACGCATATGTGTACACCCTAAAAAAGCAGGGAACTGCTGAAGAGACTGATTTCTGACGACCAAAGGGAACCCAAAAAACATTGGCTGTATGTGAAGTAAGGAAAATACTGATCTGAATGATGGGGAAAAACAAGGCCGACAAGCTCTGAACAGCCTCCACAATATTTAAGATCCTACTGCACCACAAATCTCCCTGCCATGTACAGAATCATATGATTTTCAATTTGCATCCAGGCTGAAGGGACATACATTTAAATATTTCACCTACAGGCTGGGGATTAAGGATGTCACCAACAGAAACTTGAAGTCTTGCAGAGTTGCAGCAACCCAAATGGAAATTGGATTCACAGCTCAATTGCTAAAAGGCAAGGAGGGACAGATGCATACAAACAAGAACATGAAGCACAAATCAAGGTGACTATCAGCCATCTCTTATGAACAAAAGATAATTTTAAAAAGGGAAAAATAAACCACAACTGAGAGAAAACATGAAAAAGAATAGACAAGGAATAAAGCCAGGGGCTGAAGTACATTTAAAATGATTAAGTTATCTTTTTTAGAACACCAGACACAATTTTTTTCATTATTATGAATAACAAAGATATAATTTACAAATTCTGACCTCGTGTTTGTGTTATTTCTCATTCTCCTTAAAATCTGGCCCACTGCTATCAGTTATTATCATTTTCACTACTAAAATTCTCAGCTCATTCTTCTGCACCGGAGCCACAAAGCAGTATCACACATTCTCCTCTATCATTACTGACATCTAGAGGAACAAGTATCCAAGTACTGCTAAAAGACTTCCTTGAGAAATGACACAAATCTACTTTTGTCATAACCATTAAGCACCCACTGGCAGTTACCCAAAAAGATGGAATACTTACAGGCCCATAAGGGATGGCAAAAGACAGTGTGCAGGGGAAGGATGTTACAGCTACAAACTCCACCACCACCATGTGGCAGCAGCCATTTTAAGCAGATGCAATGTCTGTTTTAGAACAAATTCCCACACACAAATCTAAAATGGATGATCTATGTATAGATCCCAAAGTTTCCAAATTAGAACTGAATGTCAGGTTGTCCAACAAGACACTCAGGTGGACAGCACGACCTGCCTGAAACAGCACACACACCTCAGTCCTTGTACAAACAAGCTTCATGCAACCAGATGAGACTTACAAGCTCAAAATTAGTTTGAAAATATGTTTTGAGGTATTGAAAACTTTCAGAATGCTCCAGTGAGACACCTTTATGTTTAGCATTCATTATGTGTCTATATAAGTACCACAGAACATAAAAAGCTAATGGAAGGAGATGCTTACCTATGAACTCTCTGATCACATCTTAGTACAATCAAAGGATCAATCATCAGATCATTCTGAGTGTATTTCTGCTGTCGGACTATTTTTACTGAAGGCTGCAGAGCATTGACAGTCATCACCCATAACCTGAAATGAGATAATTTTTTAAAAAATTGATAATCCATGTGAGAAAAGGGATCAGATAAGCATCAGGACACTCCCACTGAGTTAGCTGAATTTTTCTAGGTGTATCAAGGAGCAAAACCACCTTTTGCAGCCCTTGAAGTTAACCAAGATACAGTTAATTTACAATCACTGGAATTTCAGCAATCACACTGTTTCGCTGCAATAGAGCTTCTGCTTCCTCAGGAAAGGCATGTACAAACAATGTACACTGCAAACCATACTCCTGTGTTTTAAATGAACTGGTGACTTTCTTTCCCCAGAGAACAAGAAGTACCTTCCTTTTAAATACAAAGGTTAAAATTTTCAGCAAATCAACTTCAATGTTTTCTGTTCAGCCACAACCTCCAATTTCCCAGACCAGGGCATTACGCTATTATTTTTGAAACAGAAAGTGGAATTTCACCCATCTGCAACAAACAAACTAAACAGTATTTTGAACCCACCTTCTTGGCATCACAGTGTTAAGAACCATCCAAAGTTTATTGACAGTCTGAAGGATCCTCCGAGGGACTCCAGCATCCAGCAAGAGATTCATATTTGATGTCAATACTTCCGCATAAGGGATCAATTCCCCAGCGGAGAGAAGAGTCAAATGCTCTAAGATCTGCATCAGCTGGGTATGATTTCCAGGCAGCATGGAAAATGCTATAAAACAAAGACAATGGGATCTTGGTAAAACTGGATTTCTGGTATTTTTTCTGACTCCTTGACCTGAAGGAGTATTATGTATTAACCTGATGTATTAACAAGTCTGCAGCAGAGCATTCTCATTACACAAATGCAGTATGATCAAATAGATTAAATGGCTACACACTTTCAAACCCATGATATTCCAACCAATGTGAAAAGAGCACTGCTTACTTCAAATGAAGTTATTTACCTTCCTGGAGCTGTTTGGGAGAGTGATTCTTGGCAATGTTTGTAAGAAGCATCCTCCTCAGCAAGGCGTCAGTGCCCGTGATCTGTTCCTCACAGATCCAGTCTTCCACAATGCAGAGGTGTGGGTAGTTAGTTGCAAGGAGACGTAACAGTGCGGAATGCAAACCTTTGGGATGGGGAAGGGATACAGCTCAGACTGGAGCAGCTACAGCTTTCACTTGAACATATTTGTGCCTGTCGTTTCAACAACAGGTTTTAAATTCAGTAACTTAGAGTCTGACCATGAAATCATAGAATGGTGAAGGATGGAAGGGACCTTAAAGATCATCTAGATCCAACCTCCCTGCTATGAGCAGGGACACCTCCCACTAGATCAGGCTGTACAGAACCTCATCCAGCCTTGAACACCTCCAGGGATGGGGCTTCCACAACCTCAGTGGGAACCTATTCCAGCACCTTCCTACCCTTATGGTGAAGAATTTCTCCCTGATGTCTAACCTAAATCTCCCCTCTTTCAGTCTAAAACATTACCCCATGTCCTATCCCTGCTCTCTCCGGTGAAAAGCCCCTCCCCCCAGATCTCCTGTAGGTGAAACTCTAACTCCAACAGAAAGGAAAAGTTACCTTTTGGGAAGGCTGGAGGACCTATAGTAACTCAAACTCAGTCTGAAGTTATTGTAAACCTCAGGCAATTCCCACTCTAAAAACTACCCTAGCTAGCTAAGACATAGTCTAAAAAGAAGAGATCCAGATTATCAGAAAAAAATTTTTCACTATGACAACAGTGAGACATTGGAGTAATCTCCCCAGAGAAGTAGTGGATTCTCCAACACCGGACACTTCTAAGATTCAGCTTGACAGGGTGCTGGGCCATCTCACCTAAACTATTATTCTTCAAACATACTTGCAATTTCACTAGTTACTTCTGACAGATCTGTAGGCCAGAGAAAGGCAGGCACATTGTGAAACAGACAATGGACACAGGCTGAGCCTCCCCTCATCATGCACATCAGACTGTGCCACACAGACGTACCTCCCAGCTCCTGCTGCAGCCCCTGTGCCTGCCGGATGAGGTACTTGATTGGAATCTGATCCATTAAGGCTGAAGAGTAAGACTTGGGTTTTTTTTGCATTGCAGCTATAAGAGAACAGGACAAGAAACCACACACAGTAGTTACAGTTGGAAAAAATTATTTCCCCAGTTGAATCAATAATGGAAATGTAAAGCACCTCTCTCTCTATTAACCAGGGAAAACAGAGAAAATCCTAAATAAAACACCTCTTTCCTCTTAAAGTATTTAAATAAGCTCTTCAGCAAAACATTTCTGTGACCATTTCCATTCAAAGATTTTCCTGGCATTTAAATTTGCTTGCAAAATGTCCAGATCATTTTTTACCAAGTCCAACTGATTTTGAGATCATAGCTCACATCTGCACTCTCCCTATTCTAGTTTTTTTTTATTCTTTAAAAAAACTGATCAGCTGGTATATGGAACTCAAACTGCTGGCACACACAACACTCTGTAGTGAGACAGAAGTTATAAATGCAGAATTGCAACTGATTTCATAATATTTCAGTCTTTCTTGAATAGCATGAAGAAAAGTGATGAGTGCTTGAAGTTTTGCACCCTGAAAAGGGCAGGTAAAAACACCCACCACATACAAATACAATCATTGCATAGAAATTGGAACTCTTGCAAATAAACTCTTCAGCATTCTTTCTCAATTTTATAGGTAAAAAGGGATTGTTCAGTATTGTCCACTATAAAAGTGCCAACAATAAGAAATGAATGTGCAACGGTTTAAAATGATAATAATAGTAATAGCAATGAGAATAATAAATATGTAATACATATGTATAGATTAAGATCTGAAGTAATTAAGAAGTCTTTGTTAATTGTTAATTTATTTGACATTCATGAACATAACTGGTTAAATTTTTTGCCAGCTTGGACCTTTTTTTAATCTGGAAAACAAAAAATACCAACTTTTTACAGAGATGACGCATTTATTACAGGAATTTAAACTTCAAATGCTGTGCTTGAATCTGAGAGCAACAGGATTTCCACCATACCTAGGATCTTGGTGTTTGCCAGAAGTGCTTCTTCATAGGACAGGACATAGTAAAGGACAAGCAGTTGGGTGGTGATGCTGTATCGTTGAGCTAGACGAGTATTTTCACCCTGTACATGAAACCACATACAAAGGTCATGTTGCATTCCTGATTCTAAAAATACAGATTTACCTGGAAGTATGAAGAAGGATAAGGCAGCAAACCCTGTACAAAAATATCAACACAGGAAGTCCAAGCTGAAAGATGCAGTGTACATTTTTCTTTCTCTCTCTCTCACTTCATTTCTCTCTCTCTCTCTCTCTCTCTCTCTCTCCCTTTCTCTTTCTCTTTATCTTCAAACATAAAATGTATTTTTGATATCTTGGGACACTACTAAGGAGTAATCCCAGGACTCCCCTGCAAATCATTCTACATGTGTCCAAGAGACCATTATCACACTTCTATTAAAAAAAAATGCTTCTTTCAAAAAGAGCTAGAGTGCTTCAGTTAAATAGTATTTTTACGTAATAAGATCGAGTAAGTAAAAAATGACACAAATCCTACATAAAAATTTCCACTTTTCCATCCATGAAGTGCTTTTCTTTGCATTTTTAATGCAGGAGTTGGTGAGCTCCCAAGAAAAAGGGCAAGACAGAGACAAATAGCAATCCTCCTAAAATCTGAGTAGCACTAACAAGATTCACTGTAGCTGGAGGCTCTTTCCTATACAAGTATTAAATACAAAAAAGGAAGCAACTTACAGAATCAGTGCCACACACATATTCACTTGAAAATCTGTGAAAGAAGCAAACAAATCATTTACCCCAGAGAGTCCTTGAAAAACATTCAGTATCTCCTGTTCAGTGACAGGCTGATTTGTGGCCTCTGGGTTGGATTTAGATGCAGGAGTAAGAATAGAGTTAATGTAGACATCAATAAGAGGAAGCAGCTGAGGATGGAGTGGGGTGGTGGTTTCACAGAGCTGCCTATAGATCCAGTCCTAGGAAAAAACATATTGTTAAATGTTCAGTTTCAAAGCTGGAACACTTTTGTGTCTGCAAGTACATCCTCTTTTAACTAGTTACAAAGAAATGTAACTGAATTAGGTTCTGACTTTGGAAACTGTAACAGCAGTTCTGAGTTGGGCCTGGTCATAAACTGTGTGTCCTGGACCCTGCTCTGTACAGATCCAATGAAACTTGTCCTGACTGGAAATACCATTCTGATCATCATTTTATGAAGCACAGAAATGGGGAAAGACATAACTTCTCTATTATTTTTAACTTTAGTAAGTTGTGATCTCTGAATTACAGAGCTAAAACTGGGTACCCTAAATTTAATCCACCATTTCTTTTTCAATGACATAGTACTAGGCTCAAAGACTCCTCCAGAATTCTCCTCCTATCATTCAATCAAAAACATGCAGCCTGCAAAATGTAGTCAACATTCAAAATTCTGAAGTGAAGCAAAATGAAAGCCATACCTTAATGGATACTTTGTGCTTGGTGAAGGACCGACTTTTTAAAAGCTGGTAAATGCAGTGAATTGGTAAAAACCCAGTGATGTTGGCACTGAGGTTGCCTGTAACAGGCACACGAACTGCATGGGCTGTAACAACCTAAAGGAAGGTTATAATTAATAAGAAAAATACCACAAATATTCACTTTATACAAATGCATAAGCACAAAGTGAGAACTTACTTATTTTTGGCTGGAAGCTGAAGAAGATTTTTATGCAGTTTAATACAGTCTGTGTAAAACTGTAGCACACTCACAACATTTGTGAATGTTTTCCAACCACTGCAAAATGTATCATCACAGTGGACAGTATTTCTCCTTTGCTTCCCCATTATTTAAAAAAGTCCAACATTGAAAACTCATAATCAGAGTATAAAAAAGAGAGAGACAAGGATCTTCAGTACCTGTAGGGCTTGGATTCTTCTCAAAGTTAAAGTGAAGTGATTACAGAAGAAATAAAAAAAGAGGGAAAAAAGGGAAAATAAAAGACCTGGGCTTAAAATACCTGCTCAGTGAAAATCTCCTGTGTGAAAATTGTCTTCATTCTGCTGAGTGAGCTGGGCTTAATAACGATCTGAAACAGAGAACAAAGTACTTGCAATTTTAAGTTCTATATTTCTTATAAGCACTGCAACTTTGTATTTAAACCTGTTAACCTTTAACCTTTTTAAACCTGTTTTCACTGGGATACCAGGAAAACATTCCAAACTAGACTTCAAATGTAAATAAAAAATATTTTCAAATGTCACAAGTTAATCACTCATGTCTTCCTTTCCTAAAAACTACCTACCCAGCTTTTACATTGGATGAGACACTGTTTCACCACAGCAAAGTGAAGACAAGTCTCCCTTGCTAATTATCAGAAATCACTACATAGAGGGATAGTCTTTAAACTACTTCAAATAAAAAGTTTCCAGCTCAGTTTGGAAACCAATTAGTCTTCTAAACAAGTTAATTTCTTGAAATCACTAGCTTCAATACATCAGGCCTTTTCAAAGATACTTTTGTAACACTCCCCTGTATCAAGAGGTATCATAGGTTCATGTTTTTCTAGAGGAACAAGTTTAGCTACTTACTATTTTGTTTTACTTCGCATTTGCTTTAAGTTTATTAGTAAAAAAATAAAGTTTTTTTAATATCAAAACTAGAGTATAAGAATATAAATACACAGCAAAAAGTTAATTTTAACAGAGAAATGTATGTGCTAGTAATAGTTTAGGATTTACCTTCATTCCCAGGGTGGAGCAGACCAATTCAATGATAGCACTGAGCTGATTACTATGGAAATACATGGCTACCAAGAGAAGCATCTCTCCAAAAGAAGCAGACACACCAGAAATGCTAATGACAACAAAAAGGAAGAGTTAATTTCCAGTAGGAAATAAGTACATGTGAGATTACTGGAATCAGTAAAACTAAAAGAAGCCTCCTCTCACCTTTCAAAGTAAGCTTCTTCTTTTATCATCCAGCTAAGCCACATTACCATGAGTTGCTCCTGTTCTGGGGTGCTGAAGAGAGAAAATCCATAAAAGATCCTTTTCCCAGGAACTACCATTAGCTCTACCAAGAATTACTTGCAGAAAAGCCAGTATTTGAGGAATCTTACACCAGTGACTTTCTGTCACTTTCTCTTTAGCATCAAACAGCTGATAAGCAGTGATCTTTAGCACAAACTTCAGCCCAACTGTCAGGCAATTAACTTCCTGTCCTGAATGCACACAGCAGAAAGTTCCCTCCATTGAAAACCTCTGTTGCTACTCTTTCAAACAGGGTCTCTAAAGAATTTAGGCATGAACTTAATCAATGGAAAAGTGAACTAGTAAGACCTAATTCAGCCTTCAAAGCCATTCCAACTTAATCTAAACTAAATCCAATGCTCCCTTCTCAAAAGATTGGCTATGAACAAGAGGGAGAGCAGAGGGGAGTATCAATTCACCCACCACAATGTGAGATAAATCCCTTCAACCAACATCTGGAGAATTATATCAAGAATTAGAAGAAGGAAAACTGTGCAGCTCTGGGGAGGTCATTGCCTTAAGGGTGCCAAGACAGTAACATCCTTACAAAGCTCCTCCTTTACTGAGAGGTACCTGACAAGGGTGGAGAAGGCCAGAAGCATGCAAAAGGAGAGAGAGACAAAGCGAACACCAGCTGGGGTTGCAGGAGGGCGGCTGGTCATCAGCTGCAGTAGTTGCTCAGCCTCTTCATCAGTTGGCCTGAAAAGAACAGCAAAAGAACAAAACCCATGCTGCTAATTCAAGAGTGAAGAGATTTCCCAGCTCATCACAACGGTTAAATTAAATTTTATCTGTTACTTAATCTGTTTATCAAGTTGCTCTCAATAAAAAAGTATCAAGATCAACTGGCAGTTCTCTCTGAAGGAAAAGACATAAAAATCTCTGATAAGAGAAAATTTCCCCAGGATAAAACCTCTCCTATTAGTACAAAATATCTAAATTAAAACTAACAATGCATAAAGTTGCCACATGAGCACTCTCTAAAAGGTAAAAGCAGAGAAACAGAAATTCTAAATTCATGTTGTGTATGTTGCCAGAGTTTTCAGCTCCAACCACTTAGGCCTGAATTTCTTTCAGCAAGTCCATAGAACTGATTTTGCAGCATTAAAGACATCATCACATTTCTTGCAGTATTTTAGGTTTTAAAAATCAGAAAAATTTGTAAATT